TGAAGCGGGTTTCTGAAAAACAATGATTGAAGTGAATGTATACACATATCTGTAGCAAGGTAAAGTCATGTAGAAGGGAACGGTAGGGTTTTTTTCGCGCCAATAGCGGCGTACGGGCCGCATTCTCAGCGCATGCATTCTGCATGCGATCTCACGAAATTTCAATGAACCCCGTTCTGTCCCAATATAACCCTCACCAAAATATAAAAAAGGTTATATGGGACAGAATTATTCGGTCTATAGTAGGCCCTACCTTGGACTTTGAAGAAAATGTTTGATTAGGTTACGATGCGCCAGTCGGTTAGCCTAGGTCCGGTGCTAGACTAGTGCTGGGTGGAACGAATAATTCTGTCCCAGATAACGTTTTATATTTTGGATGCGTTATACCAATAACCCTTACCAAAACGGCAAAATATAAAAAAAAGTTATCTGGGACAGAATTATTCGGTCTAGCGCCGCGGTAGGCCTAGCCTAGGTACGAAAGTTCTGACACATTCTCATCCGTACGGACCGTCCCCAGCAAGTTTACATAACTACTATTCGTAGATTAGTTTTATAAACGAAGAATACTTACTATAACAGGCGACTGAATGCGTATGTAACAACAAGAAACTGGCTCAGAAAAAGTTCGAGTAACAATAAATGGCGACGCACGAACTTACGCGCTTGTGCGGTTTACAAACGCGTGTGTGACGTCGTTATTACCCACAATCCATCCAGTGAAAGATGGCGGCCCCCATTCCCAAAGTAAAAATAATGCAGTTATTGTTATGTAGCACTACTTGCTGCACGTTTTTACTATTTTTATACTCGTTGCTATAAATACATTTATACACACATATGCTACATAGATATACACATACAGATGATATATAAATTCGTATTTTCATCAAGAATTCAGGATTAGTGAGTAAAACTGTAGTGTAGCTAGTCTGTAGCTTGCACTGGCATATACAGTGTTAGTGTATACTGTATACTAACAGTAACACTGTATGTATAGTGTTAGTATACACTGGCATATACACTGGCATAGCAGTTACAGTGTTCAACGTGAGTCACTGAGTGTTTGTAAACTTGTATTTCACTTTTCAGGATGGTAAGCAGTCTGATCCACGGTATCAACTATTCACTACAGTGTATACAACATGCTTTTCTCCATGTGGACGTTATCTGGTAGCGGGTAACAACTTTGGAAAAATAGCTGTCTACAGGTAAATATTATTGAAGGTAGTAAACTAAACAAATACAAAAATAGGTATGAATGTCATTCAGAATGCCACCGCAGCACACTTATCTTTATTGCTTACACAATCTTATCTTTATGATGCAATGTCCAGTGCTGTAGTGTAGTTAGTATATGTTATGCTTTACTTTCTGTATTTGTTTACGAACACGTGATCTATGACACTTGTATATGCAACACGTCATGGTGGGAATAAAACATACAGGGTCTTTGAGCCTGTGTGATGAACAGAAACAGACGTGTTTACTTGAGTGTTCAGAGGCAAGAGCTTACAACACTATAAGTGCCAGTGACATGAACGGTTCATGTTATCCTCGATTCCAAAGGGTAAATTTCAGCTCTTCTTTGTTCCATTAGAAATTATCATGAGGTTTCAACCACGAAATACACTATAGTGACCCTATTCTATAGTATATAGAATATATGTTAGTACACCCTTATATTCTATATATATATATAAATATATAGAATATAAGGGTGTATTAATTTGAGGATTTAAACGCGATATGCTAATATATATTTGGCAATTATATGGTTTATTAATTGGGTGTTTGCCGACAGCTTGTCTTCTGCACTAAGCCCTGATGCTACAGAAGAAAACAAGGCACCGCTATATATCTACAGAGCTCATGACGGACCAATATACAGTTTCTCATCTACAGACACATTCCTGATAAGGTACATTAATTAAGATAGTGACAACTAGGGCATCATTGACGTACACGAGGTCATGTTCACTGTATATAAATTCTAAAATTAGAACACGTGTAATTATTCATGGTAACAAGTAAATCCTTTGTGAACTTTTCATGAAGATGATCTAAATTAACTTCTAATATTACAAATGAAATACTAAAATAATAGTCTAAATAGCTAGATCGATTCTGTATTATAAAATCTTATCATAGCTTTCTTTTTCAATTACTTTTTTCTTCAGTGCTGGCACACGGGATGTCCTTGGCTGGAAGTGGAAGGACTTAATAGCTCGGGAGCCTAAAGTTGCGTGGGTGCTGGCAATACCACGGGGGGATGGATTTGAAAGCCCAGAGACGAACGCTCTTGCATTGTCTAACACGAGCAATGGAACACAAACTTTGTATGCAGGCTGTGGCGATAACAACATATACGGCTGGGAGCTTGACACAGGCACTTGTGTGGTGGGTATCAGCACAGATATGGTCATCGCACGATGTTTTTAATTTATGTAAATTACGCGAATTTTTATATTAGCTGGTACTGAGATTAGTGCACAGATTGACAGAAAAGTTTTTACTGAAGCTTTGTATTTTTTCAGGAGTGGAGATTTTTGACGAACATGTAATGCTTCACGCAATGATCACATGCCTTTATTCACACAAGAAAATATGCAAATATATGGAAAACCAATTTCGATCGACACTTTTACTTGCATGTTTTTGGCTGGGCTAGGTGCTTGACAGCAGTTCACTGTAATTTGCAGATGACAATGAAAGGGCACTCGGACTTTGTCCATTGCCTTGCAACAAAGAACTCAGGAAACGAGCTGGTTTCCGGTAGTGAGGATGGCTCTGTGCGCATATGGGGTGAGAGTTATTCCCTTTAAGCATCGCACACTAGTTGTGTCTAGTACAGCTGTTACCAACGTGGTAGATTGCAACGTTAGGTGGACGCGTATAATAATTCACGTATGCCTCGCTATCTCATGAATGCTATGCGATTAGTCAGAGATTACCGAAAGTTATCCTTGGGTCCATCGCATACATTGGATGCAGATATGTGTGAATGTTATTATTATTATTAAATCTTTATTGCATGTAATTCAAATACAAATACATGTACAGAAGTCTTTTTCATGGAGGAAAAGGTTGGATAGATGCAATAGTGTTGAGTAGTAAAAATAATAAGATTTCTGAGTGATACAGTACAAAACAGCACTATACAACATGCAGAGACAAAAAATCCGAATATTTTTTATGTGTCATCGTTTCGTGTTTCAGATCCTCGATGCCCAGAAGAACACGTGCAGATGTTTGAGCCGAGCAAACATGATGTAAGTACTCCGTTTCTGTTTGCATTTCTTTCACAGTTACACCTTTTAGCCGAAGAAAGTTAGGCAAATCTCTAACGCCCTATCTGTAGTACTCGAACCATGCTTTCATATGATAAATGCAAGAAGATGACATAATTTGGTAATAAGATTAAATATTTACTAATTATATTATATTTAGTTTAATGATTTAATTTAATTTCATTAATTTAATATAATAATTTAATAATTGGTTGGAATAAGATTACTAGCCGTCTCCAGCGGTGGTGCGTGTGACTAGGAACGGTCGTACCCGCAGGTGTGTTCGCGACCGAAACTCGGACCGTGGATCTCATGCGTGGCGGCGGACCCGAGTGATGACTGGATCGTCTGCGGTGGCGGCCCCGCGCTGTCGCTGTGGCACACACGTTCGTTGTCGACGGTCGCCGCCACGTTCCCGACACCCGACGCCTGCCAGTTCCGCGCGCTCTTCAACGAAGATGTGGTGAGTGCCTTGTAGCTGAGCGACAACCGCTACATGAGAAGTGAAGGGTGCACGGTGAGAAGTGAAGGGTGCACGGTGAGAAGTGAAGG